TACCAGAGACTGCAATTTCACCTGTCAGTCTTTTGAAAGGACCATGTGAATGAAATGTATAAATGGCAGAATTATCCTTTAAATCCACACATTATGGCCTGGATGTGGCCTGGAAAGTGTTCTTTGAAACCAGTCATATTTCTAAATCACTGCATCAACTGAGTCTACAGTTCCACGCCGTCCAACCCTCCGGTGACTCAAATGCTCCAAACCCTACAGCTTCCTCAGCCATGCCGGGACAAGAGCTGGCATGACCGTCTACTTTGTGGTTTCTTCCTGCTTCAGAACAGCACAGACTTTCACTGGTGTGTGTCACTGACCGGAGACAAAGAGAGGAAAGGTGTAGTATCCTTGTCCCTGCCCTCCCAGGGAGGTCAAACTGTGTTCCACTTGAAACATGACTTTGAACATAAGCACAAAATATACAGTGTAAACATATCACACTGGAAACGGTCTTTTACACAATAAAAACAGTAAATCTTTAATTTTGTTTGCACACAGTATCATTGAAAATGTGACTTCACAACAGGGCAATAACAATCAGAAGGAATACAAGGAGATAATTCAATCAATCAACCTCCGTGTGACATCATCACCTCTGTCTTACTTTGTGACCAAGTATCATCTTCACATTTCAACTTAGTTAAAACTAAAGGCTGTTGACCTATAAACCCAGAAATACAAGGCCAACGTACTGTATGTCTGAACGAGCTGGATACAGGTCAGAGCAGCAGCTCCAAAGAGGCATCAGAGTGTGATGGCCTTTATCTTGGTCCCCATTTGATGTTGGCGAGTCCTTGAAACTGTTTTTTGAGGGCCTGTCTGTCTGACCACTTTGAGTCTAGGTAGCTGTCATCATCTGCCTCCTCTAGTTTCTGAAAATGTCACCAGGACTAGGTTAAAGAGACACATTCAATATATGCATGAACATGAGTATTTGTCTTGTACAGTTTTGCGTTCAACCTTGCCTCACCTTGAGCTCCTCCTGCCTCCTGTAGTAATGCATCATCATCTGTTTCTGCTGCTCATCGGTGACCAGGGGCTCTCTTGCTGGTGCCCCCTGCCCTTTCTAAACAGAACAGCAACAAATGGATTACAATCTCAAAAACAAAACAAAAAAAATCCTATCATATATGACCAAACACTCTTACCTTTTGAATTTTGACCACAATTTTCGTTTTTTCATTTTTACCAATGTAGTCCTGCAGTTTCTTCCCCCTCTGCATCTCTTTGGCAGCCCACCATAACTGACACTCATCCTCTGGGATCACCTGCAGGTAGGCCTGAGGGAAAGACACGCAGAGGAATAAGGGAGAAAAAGAACAGCAAAGAAAGAAATTATCAAAAAGACTGTTACAGTACATGTTTAACTGCAGGTTTTTGACTCTCACATAAAACGAGCTAGGTATCTGGTGCCTGTCTCACTAAGTCAAGATGAACAGGTTATCCTTATGCTAAAAACTGGCTTACTAGTTTTAATTTTTAAAACTATAGTAACTGTTGTAACTTAAACCTTCTTGGTGAGTGAAAACCAATGTTATGTAGCCATTGGTCAGTGAAACAGAATCAGCTGTTTACCTGTGTTCCTGAAAGGTCTTCCCGGTCCTCAAACTCCATATTGATAGGGTCATGAGGAGGCAGCCCCATGGGGTACACAATCATGACTGCCCCCCTCAGCTGATCTAGGGCTTCCTTTACCATCTCCATTGTGACACAAACATTAGCTTGAACTTGTTTCTGAACCATAAAAAAAGACAAATTGAATTTAAAAAAAAATCTGACCCTTGGTAAACAACTATATTTAAAATGTAACTCTCATACTCACTTTGGAAATGAGTGCCTTTGCCTCCTCCACTGTTTTCATCAACACATCTTTCATTTTATCATTTGGAGCTGGTAGAGGGTAAAGAGATGGGTGGTCAGATTACCAAAATCTTATTTATCTACCTATTTATTAACTTATTTATTTGTTTAAACTGTTTTTCCTGCCTGCACAGAAACAGAATGCCCCTTTTCACAACATATTGTTATACCAAAAATAAATAAATAAATAAAATACTTTGTCAATTAATCTCTTGCAAAATCCATTTACTGCAGTGCATCTATGCTCGATGTTGTCCACAATATGAGTGCAGTTGGCTGGGACAAAGAAATGACATATTTACAATAACATTCTAAACAAATGCAGAAATCCCAATTGGGATTTACTATACAAGTTTTAAGTGTTGTAAATCTTAATCCGTGTGTCTCAGTTTGTAGTTCAAACCTTCAGCCACATGCATGGAACCTCTCAAAAGAACTGTCTAAATAAGATATCAAGGGTCAAAATCTCCACTGGAGCATTTAGAATTATTTTCTTGTTAAACTACAAAACCTATAATCGAGAGTCAGAATCTCACCATGTCCATTTCTCCTCCCAATCTCATCCTTCCTAAATATTGTCCCTCCACTGGGCACACACTTGTCTTCCCATTCATCTCTCAGCTTCAAGTCCACAATCTGTTCCTCTGTCATTCCCCGCATGTTGGGGGGCAGTGTGATTCCATGGTCTGCAAGCTCTGGGATCTCTAATGGTCCAAAAAGGAACAGGGAAGTCCATGTCAGTGTATCTGACTAGACTGTATTTACTAGAACCCAGTCATGTCACAGCTAAAATACACTGCTAGTGCTGAAATATAGTTAAACCTCTGACAGAAAATTCACCCAACACTAACTCAGTGTTACCAATATTGAGCTAAACACTTTCTAGATACACCATCATAATATTTAACTAGCTAGCGCAGTTGTACAGTTTGGTTACACTGTTGTAAACCAAGAGTTGTGGGTGTTACTCATCTCTACGGTGTGTAACAGTTACAGAAAACACCGAGGACACCAATTTAACCTGAACACAGTCTGTCCACTTTTAGTCTCCCATTGTAAATGGCGGTAATTTGCTGAATCGCCGTATCCAACTGCGCGTCCACAGTGGTGTTGAAAAGAAACTGGCTTTCATTGCCACGCTTCACATGTAGCTGTACCATACTGCAAAGTAGTTCACCACTTCCTGAAAGAAACAATTAAGAGATTAATGATTGTTCCTGAATAAACCTGCAAGTACACGGCGGCTTGTCTGTGTCAAAGCAGTGCTCGGGATTTAGCAAAAAAGTAACCATAGCAACCGCTTCCAGAAAACATTACATCTAACTTTTAGCTAGCTAGCTAGCTAGCTGACACAGGTGTTTCTACTGGCG